CCTTTTTGAAACCAATAGTCCGTTAGAACCCTATCGGAATAACGTATCCAATTCATTATCCCATTAGAGTTTCTGACTATGTTTCAGGGGGCTAAGTGTAATTATCGATATCACAGGGACCTTACAGTTATTTAAGCTTACCTCAGGGGGTGCGTGTAATTTACCCTTCTTTTTAAATAAAAACCGTAAATTCCATAATAAACTTGGGTAAATTACAAACCCCCCCTAAACTTAGATTAAATTACAAAACCACCTCCACCTATTCGTAATTTCCAAAACCCTCGAAATTTGTTTCCATCTTACACCAACCTCTTACAATATGACTTTTCATTGATTTTTTTGATTATAGGGAATAAACTTTACACAATTTAAGATATTTTCTTTTATTTCTCACCTATTTAACATAAGGTATCATAGACTGTACACACTTTCTGTTAAAAAACTCGATCAACAGTTAATAGAGAGAATTTTGGTTACTACAGATAGGTGTGTGTATTTTTCATTATTTAATATAAATTCAAGGGATTTTCATAATTTACCCAATAACATTCATACAAATGTAATTATGAATTTACTTTTTGAAGTATGATTTGATAAATAAAAAAAGAGAAAATTCTCCTATCCACTCTTTGTACTTTAGCTTGGTATCACTTTACGTTCTTCTACTCTCGATTGCATCGATTTCCCCCCATGCACTTGAAAAATTATCTCAATGTGGCCCTTGTTGTTAGTTGTCAGACATTTGACATTAACACCGTTTGGTTTAAACTCTAAAATTACAAAAATATGTCACCTCTCCCAATTTAAATAATTATTAAAAAATAAAATAAAAATTAAAAAACAAGATAATGAAAAAGCATAGTCCACGACGGCAACCATAATATATTTTTATTTTTTATAATTTTTTAATAATGGAAGGAGTGGTTTTTTTGTAATTTTCAAACCTTAGACCAAAACGATGTTAATGTCAAATGTCTGAAAACTAACAGAGATTGCCACATTGATACAGTTTTTCAAGTGCATGAAGCAAATCGATGCAATTGAAAGTAGAAAGGGGTAAAGTGATATTGACCCAAATTAAATGGGGTAAAGTGAAATTTACTTAAAAAAATATAAATAAAAAGAGTTGAATATACAAGAGTAAAACCCAATTGGTGAGGAACAGCTAGACCTGCTACACCAGATCAAATCAGTAGCCAGGAGGTGGGTCCCACTCTCCTCCCCATAATAAAACATTTTCATTAAAATAATAATTTTCTCTCACATCACATCACTCCTTTCTCTCTCCTCTTTCTCTCTCTCTCTCTCTCTTCTTCTTCGTGTTGTCTGACTGTTGCAGAATTTTTTTTTCTCTGTTCATAAAAAAAAAAAAGCATCACCGAACAACAAGGCGGAAAACAAATTAAATAAAAAATAAAAAAAATACAAAAAACAAATAAACAAAAAACCCTAGCTTCCATGGAGTCTCTATCCAGACCTCCGCACAGAAGAAAGCACTCCGCCACCACAGCCGCCTTCTCTTCAACCTTCTCATTTAAGAACCCGTACGACGGCGTTTTGCTGCCCAGCGGAGGCGAGCGGAAGTCGTTGGAGGCTCACGAGTACCGTGAGATTTTCTCCGGCTCTTCCGCCATTCCGGTGCTTGATCTTTCGGGTCTGGATGACCGGGTCGGGTCGGCCGATCCTCGGAGCTCCAAAATCGATTACTCCAACCTTTTTGGTGGCCTGAGGACTGATGACGTGGCGGTGCCCTATCAGGAG